TTCCACACTGACCAGTAGGAGATGTGCAGGAGGCAGCTGATCGATGTTTCTCTCTCATCGATGTTTCTGACTCTCTGTCTCTCTCCTTTCCTCTCTGTAAAAATCAATAAAATATATTTTTTAAAAAAAACTGTGAACAAATTCCTATGCACACTGCACATATCTTATTTTGAAGTAAAAAAACAAAACAGGAATAAATACAATATTTGTATTTGCATGTGGCCGGCGGGCCGTATTTTGAGGACCCCTGGTGTACAGGGTAAAGGAAGGGAACAGAAGGCTGGAATCTGCTTGCAAAATGGAGGGGAGGGGAGAGAGTGATTTCTGGGGATCAAAGCAAGAAACCTAGAATCTGGTCTCTGCCCCTTATGAGTCCAGTGCTGGGGAAGCTTTCAGCCTTGGTTTTCTCATCTACAAAATGGGAAAGCCTGGCCCCACCTATCTCCTGGGCTTACAGTGAGAATCAAATGAGGTTATATATGTTCAGGCATTTAGTGTGGGGTGGCTGTTGATCTGTTGGGATATTTGCAGGATCAGCCAGGGGGAGGCTGGGAAGAGGGAGCCACGGTGCTCACCTCTGTCTGATCTCTGCTTCTCAGAAAACTGGAAATACATCTACCCCCTGGTGTGTGCCTTCTTCGTGGCCCTGCTACCGGTCTGGGTGGTGCTGGCCCGGCGGAGCCCAGCCACAAGGGAGGTGCTGTACTCGGGCTGGGAGCCTGTCATCATTGCCATGGCCATCAGCAGGTAGGCTCAGGCCGTGGGTGCCTACCCCCACCCTCTCCACCCTGCCACAGACTCCCTTTTACGCCTGAAGAGAGGGAGCATGGCACTGACCCCGAAATGCCTTCAATAGTGTGTCAGTCACTTGTCCTTCTATTATAAATGACAGAAACCGTCTGAAGAGGGTTTCATTGAAAATCAGAATGCATTTGGCTCAGGGAACTGAAAAGGCACAGCTGGATTCAGGAGCAGAAATTATATCATCAGGGCCCCAGTATTCTCCATCTCTTGGCCCTGCTTTTCCCTGTGCTGGCCTGCAGTTCCAGTTTATACTTTTCTACTTGTACTAATTCAGTGGTAAGAGAGATTCTTTCTTTCAACAATTTCACAAAGTCCCATTATAAAGTTTCATTGGGAAATAAAAATAATCTATATATATATAAAAGCCTAAGCGACCGAACAACCGGTCGCTATGATGCACAATGACCACCAGGGGACAGATGCTCAATGCAGGAGCTGCCTCCTGGTGGTCAGCGCGCTCCCACAGTGGAGTGCCACTCAGATGACCAACAGGCACCAGACACCAGGCTCAGGGCTGGCCAGTGCAGCTGCAGTGGTGTGAGCCTCTCCCGCCTCCTCACAACGCTACCGAGCGGCAGTGGCAGGCGCAGCGAGGTAGGATGAGCAGGAGTGGCACGGTGCCTGGGCTCAGGCTCCTCCCCGGCCGCCTGCCACTTTGTGCACTACTACATCAAGGGGTCCCAGATTGCGAGAGGGCGCAGGCCAGGCTGAGGGACCCCACTGGTGCACAAATCCGTGCACTGGGCCTCTAGTAATAATAATAATAAAATAAAATTTCATTGACTCTCCTTCAGTCACATGATTATTCCTGACCCAATCACTGTGGCCTTGGGGATGTGATGCTTTGATTGGATGAGTTTGGGGCCTAGTCCTCATTGGAGTAACGTCATGTGAACCACAGCGATTGAGTTTGAGAGAGACCATCCCCTGAGGAAAGGGAAATAAATACTGAACAGGCAGAACAGTGAGGTTCTCACAAGCAGGTTGCCCTATGGATGGCGCCTCCAGCCAACTTGGGAGGTGGGTGCCATCAGCTTGCTCAGGGAGCACTGTGACAGCCGAATGTTATGAGCAGCAGCTGGTTCTGGCACAAGAAGCAAGGACTGGGAGAGCAGGGACTCCTGAGAGCCACCTTGCTTCCCTTCCTGCCCACGGCCAGATGGGCCTGCCCGCCTCGTGCCAGGGGCTGGAACAGAGCCCCTTAATGGCCTTTGTGTCTTTGTAGCGTGGGAGGCCTCATCTTGGACAAGACTGTGTCAGACCCCAACTTTGCAGGGATGGCTGTCTTCACACCTGTGATTAACGGTGAGGATTGGCCTCAGCGGCCAGGGGAAAGGAGAGGGCAGAAGAGGATTTGGGGGGCTTTGCCTCAGTCAGGGTTCTAGCAGGCAAGAGAACCCAGCTCAGTTAGTTCAAGAAGGGAGAGCCGGGTAGGACCAACAAGAGATGCTGAGGCATCCAGAGATGAGCAGCAACAGGAAGCCCTAGTTCTCAAGGGGCAAGGGGAGGAAACAGTGTGACAGAAGCCCAGAAAGAACCCTCCTCTGCCCCCAGCAGGGGTAAGCCACAGCCACAAAGCAGAGAGGGAACAGGAAAGAAATACCTGGCCCTGTCTCTCCTCCCACCCTTTCTGATCACCTACTCGTGCCTCCTGTTGAACAAATCTGATCAGAAGCACCATCCCGGAGGTTGGGTGATACAGTCTGTAGAGTCAGCCTCGCAGGGCTCAGAGCAAGGCGAGGGGAGCAGGGAATGGGTGGGGATGGGATGCCAAGGACAGTAAGCATAGTTCCTGGGCGCCAGATTCCAGAGCGCAGAGCTCAGACCTGATCCTTGACATGGGTTACCAGAACCATTGGGTCCCTGGGTCTGCTCGGAGCTTTGGCGAGGGCCTCGTCCCCTGGGCTGTGTGCGACAGCAGGTACACACACCCCGCTGCTGGAGAAGTCAGGCTCCCTGAGTCGACAGATCCGCCTGTGTCCCTTCCTGCGCACGCAGCCACACCAGGGGCGCATGAGTCTGCCACATCTACAGAGCGGGGGGATGCGAGAATTGGAAGACTCCTGGAATGGGGGTAGGGGGTTGTCTTCGTCGTTCTTCTCCATGTCTCATCTCCTCCTAGGGACTCCTCCCGCCCCCCATGTCTAAGATCCTTTTGTCTCTGCAGGTGTCGGGGGCAATCTGGTGGCCGTGCAGGCCAGCCGCATCTCCACCTTCCTCCACATGAATGGAATGCCCGGGGAGAACTCTGAGCAAGCCCCTCGCCGCTGCCCCAGTCCTTGTACCACCTTCTTCAGTCCTGGTAACGGCAGAGTCCCCGCCGCCTGGGTCCACTCTAGCCCTGGAGGGAAGGGTCAGCAGCCAGTGAGCTTCACTTAGGAAACAGCTGGGCCCAGATGCCAGCTGTCGTAGTGGGCACAGGCCAGGCAGGAAGGCTCTCCTTTCCTGAGAACCCCTGGGGGCTGGGGACCACGGGATGGAGAGGTAGAGGCAGCCCGCTGCCTGCTGCCCTGGAGTGTAGCGTGGTTCCTCCTGATGTTGAAAGACCTTCTGGGGCCAGGTTTCCTCCTCACCCCTTCTCTTCCGTGCTCCCAGATGTGAATTCTCGCTCGGCCCGGGTCCTCTTCCTGCTCGTGGTTCCAGGACACCTGGTCTTCCTCTACACCATCAGCTGTATGCAGGGAGGGCATACCACCCTCACCCTCATCTTCATCGTCTTCTACATGACAGCCGCACTGCTCCAGGTACCGACTGGCAGGGACCCAGGGGCGGGGCTGCCCTGCAGAGGTGGGAGGGGAGGCCCCGGCTTGGCCCATCAGACACTCTGCACCTCTTTCCCCGGGACTGGAAGGCAGATAAACACTGGACAGGGGGCTCGGACGCACAGGCTGTAGTTCCAGCAGAGTCACGAACACGCTGTGTGACTTTGGCCCAGTGGTAGAATGGTCTCTGAGCCCAGTGGTGGATGTGTTTGTAAGCTGAGAGGAATGAACCAGAGGTGGTGGTTTTCAGCAGGTGATGGTAGGGCGCTGAGCAGGTGCGCCCTGGCCACAGAGCTCCCGTGGCTCTGCTTTGCATACTGGGCTTCTGCGGGAGATTTCCTATGAATAAAGGGTTTCCTGGCTTGAGAAACCGTTGAAACCAGTGTGCTAGGTACTCTGTAGGATCCTGTGCGGCCTTGCCATTCTCTGACATTCTCCCTTGTTGTGTTATTACGTTTTTCAACATTTTATTTAGAAATAAGTATATATTCACAGGGCAGTGAAAAAAAATGTACAGAGCGATCCCATGTACTGTCCACCAGTCTCCCCCCGCGGTACCCTCTTACATAAGGATAGCACGATGTCAAAAGCAGGAAATCAAAGCTGATACAATCCACAGAGCTTATTCAGGTTGCACTTGTTTTACAAGCACTCGCGTGTGTGTGTGTGTGTCTGTGTGTGTGTGTGTTTAATTTTGTGCAGTGTTATCACATGTGTAGCTTCATGTAACCACCAGCAAGTCAAGGCCCAGAACTGGCCCATCAGCACAGGCCCCCTCATGCTGCCTCTCTATAGCCACACTCACCCTAACTATTACACTTTAAACTTGTAGAGATTCGTCTGTGCATAGGTAATAGCAGTCACATTACAGTTCAAACATTTCAAAGGCTCATAGTGAAACCTCAGTGAAAGGTCTGCTCTGCCCCCACCCCCACCCCCAGCCATCCAGTTCTCTTCCTCCCGGGCCATCCGTGTATCCATTTCTTTTCTTTTTTTAATATATTTTATTGATTTTTTACAGAGAGGAAGGGAGAGGGATAGAGAGTTAGAAACATCCATGAGAGAGAAACATCGATCAGCTGCTTCCTGCACACCCCACACTGGGGATATGCCCGCAACCAAGGTACATGCCCTTGACTGGAATCGAACCTGGGATAGAGCAGGCCGATGCTCTATCCACTGAGCCAGACCGGTCAGGGCCGTGTATCCATTTCTTATATGCCCTCCAAGCTGTTTCAGATGCATATAAGCGATTGTCAAGGGCAGGGGAAAAAAGGAGACATATGTAATACTCTTTGTAATACTTTAAGCAATAAAACAATTTTTAAAAAAAAGTACAAATGCATATAAGCAAACACACCTACTTTTTTTTTTTTACTTTCCTCTTTCTTTTACACACAGGCAGCCCTGCCTTTTTCACATAACTATGTGTCTATCACAGAGATCATTCCACATCAACATGTAAAGAGAAGAGCACCCTGATATTTCACAGCTGCATTCTATTCTGTTCTAGAAAGGCTCCCTAAGTTCATTTAACTAGTCCCTATTGGCCATCGCTTATCCCTGCACCCCTCACCCCGACCTTGAGAAAGGCTGTAGGTTGGGACATCTTGGCAAGGGCCGGGCTGAGAACCCACCACATGCAGTTTCCCCGAAGCATCACCCAGGCCACCACGTTCCCTTGCAAGTGCACTTGGTGGGAAAGAGGAGTTGTCTGAGGCTGGAGGTTAGCCCTTGGCCTGCATTGGGAAGGAGAAGCCTTAGCTCACTATCCATCTCTGCCCTCTTCTCCAGGCCTGTGGAGGGGCATGGCCTGGCACTGATCCCCAGAAAGGTTCTTCCTGATCCTTTGCTGCTTCCTCAGCCATGTGTCCCAGGGCCTGCTCGGGGCTGGAATGTAGGGACAGCTGCTGCCATTCCATTCCAGAGCGTGAAGTCCTCCTGCCAGGCTCTTCATTTGGGGCTCTGCTGAAAAGGGTGTGAAGTTATGGGGGGGGAAGGGCTGGCCTTCACCCAGGGTCAGGGCCAGGGCCACAGGAGTACCGGGCAGCTGTGCAGGGGAGGGGGAATGTGAAGGGTGCTAGAACTGTAAGCACCGGCCCCCTGGAGAGAAGACAGGAGAACAACCAAGTTTGCCTAAAAATAGGTATCAACTCTAGTTTCTTTCTCCTGCGAGAGTCTCTGCTTTCTGCATCTGCACCCCTTGCTGCCTGCTGGGCCCCTTGCTGGGCGGAATTTACATACCGCAGCATTTGCAAAGTACCCTCAAGGGTAAAACCTCCCCAATGACTGTGCTGGAGCCTTCCCGTTAGAACCCATTTCATTCTCAGCCAGGTGCAGTGATTTAGGGAGCCCACCTGTGAGGGAGGGCACAGAGCAAATAGAAGATGTGGGCCTGCCCATCGCATCTAAATGCATTTCCCACTTAAACCTGCGTGTGAATCTTGTTTAAATGCAGATTCTGATTTAGGAGATTGAGGGGCCGGGGGGCTGAGAGTACATTCTAACAAGCTCCCAGCTGCTGCTGCTGGTCCTGGGCCCAGTAGCAGGCTTCTAATCCAGATCCTTCTTAGCTGTCTGTAGTAATGGCGGGAACGCAAGGGCACAGAGAGACATTGGAGCAGCAGGTAATCCAAAGTGTCTTTCGAATTGCTGTGCACTGTCTGCTTTCTGTCTAGCAGACTTGTTCGTGATTCTGCTTTGCTAAGACTAACATTAAAACACACTTGCGCTCTTTGAGCCACAACAGCAGAATGGGAGGGTCAGGAGGAAGCCAGCCTGGGACCGTCAGCTGTGACGCAGATGACTGTGCGGACAGCCGTCTCCAGCACTGTTTTGTTTTTGTTTTTTAATACATTTTATTGATTTTTTTACAGAGAGGAAGGGAGAGGGATAGAGAGAAACATCGATGAGAGAGAAACATCCATCAGCTGCCTCCTGCACGCCCCCTACTGGGGATGTGCCCGCAACCAAGGTACATGCCCTTGACCGGAATCGAACCTCGGACCCTTCAGTCCACAGGCCGATGCTCTATCCACTGAGCTAAACCGGTTAGGGCTCAAGCACTGTTCTTATTCCACTCGGCTCCGGGGAGAAATCCCGCTCTAAAAAGCCAACTCCTGCCCCTGCCCCCTGCCAAGCTCCTGGAGACGCCAGCATGGCAGGAATCGGAGTGACCCGAGAATAGGGTGACCTAGAATTAGAGGCGAGAGGGCTGGATTCCTGTGGCACGTAGGGTTTCGGTCAGGGAGACTCTCAGCCCCCCGGCCCCGTAATGCTGACGTGGGTGACCCCGGAGAGCAGAGCATCTTCCTCTCCAAAGGGCTCACATTATGCCTGTCGTCTATTCTCACTGCGGGTGAGAACAGAGAGGTCACCGTGTGGAGAGATGAGCTGCCCCAGCACCAGGACTGTGGAGAGCCAGGTCTTGTGATGCCATGAATGGGTCCGATCCCGTGGCCTTTGGCTCCCCCTGGAGAGAAGAGGGGCCCTAGACCGAACCCTTCTGTCTCCACAGGTGCTGATTCTCCTGTACATCGCTGACTGGATGGTGCACTGGATGTGGGGCCGGGGCCTGGACCCCGACAACTTCTCCATCCCGTACTTGACAGCGCTGGGGGACCTGCTGGGCACTGGGCTCCTAGCACTCAGCTTCCATGTCCTCTGGCTCATTGGGGACCGAGACACGGACGTCGGGGACTAGCCTGGTCACTCAACCTTCTCCCCACCCTCTGCACTTTCTTTACGGATTTTTGTCTTTTGTTCCCCTCCCCCCCACCGTACTCCACACTCCCACCTCTTTCTAGGACTTCACTTTGATACCGAATTCTCATTATTTTCAATGGGAATTTTTATACATTGAGCCAAGTTTGTACAGCAAAAATTCAGGCAGGACAGCGGGACTGAGGCAAGCAGTACAAGTAGATTTTTGAGACAGTCACCAAGTGCAATTTCATGGTGGGTGCCTCCAGGTGAGCTGGACTGGGGCAGGGTTTTCGTCTGGGATCTGGGATCATGTTTTGGCAAACTTAGCTTTGGCCCTAATGAGAAACCCTTTGTGAGTTGGCTCTGGTGTTTTTTTCTTTCTTTTTACTTTTTTTTTTTTTTTTTGGTTGAACAGAGGGATAAATATATCCCCCTCTTCCCCCTCACACACACGTATACACTTTTTCTAGAAATGGACCAACTTCAAGGCAGGAGACAACTGCTCTTGGCTCCATATAATCCTAGCCCTGCTCTCCGCCCTCTGGACTAGGCCCTCTCTCTCTGAGAGACTAAGGTGGCCTGACTATTCAGACTATGCACGTGCCCCTGGCCCAATGGCTGGTAAGCACCACCAGCCCCTGCCAGTGATCTTTTTGCAATCGATTGTCACATTCAGGAAGAAATGAGCAGTGGCCTGGTTTCCTTGTTGACTCATATTCACCCATAGGTTTGCCAAGATCTATATCCTCTCTGGGCCCAGAGGACCAATTCTTTATCTCTGTTCAACCTTCACCTCTAATTGTCTCTAAGCACTACCTTCCCCCAGAGTTGGCCTGATCCGGTTCCAAGATTAGGGGCAGGGATGGGAACGTGGAGAAGGGTTGGGAGGTGGAGGGCCACAGGGATGTCTCGCTGCTGCTGTTTCTCCTGAAGACACATGGTCACGTGGCCACCTTAAGGCTGTCACTTTGCAAAATCCCTCATTTTGTCACACCGTGGCAATCAGCTGTCCTCTCTCTCACTTGGCTTCTGCCCACGTTCACCATCCATTTACTCGTTCGACAAGTACACGGCCTCCCTTGAGGAGTGCTGCCGCAGGCATGGTCTGAAACATCCATTGAGCAGTATTGATTGCGTGCCTACTGTGTGCTAGGTACTGTGCCAGGCACTGACCAGCCTGTGGAAAGGGAAATACACCTCATTCCCCAGATAAAGGCCACGTGCTCCTTTCGTTTCCACGCTGTGTCTGCATGTGTATCACCCTGCCAGGTTCTGCCTCTGGATCTCCCTCCTAGATGCCACCTGTGTAAAATGCTGACCCCAGCTACAGCTCCCACCCCCGTGGCTCAACCAGTGTCCATTTCTCTAAATGTCCCTTCTTTACCTTCCCTACCCTCTACCTCTCTTCACCAGCCACCCAAAAAAAGGATTCAGAACTAGTAGACTAGACATCAACTAGCTGCCTCTTTTCTCTGCCTAGCACAAGGTTGGGAGAACACTGGAGTCCCTCTCTTACCCACATGTTACTCTGAACAGATCGGAAATCTGTCCACTCACATGTACAAAGTCTGGGCGTTTTGGATGCAGGTTTTTTTCTAGCCTCTCTATCCACAGCCTTCCCAGAAACCCTCCCCTCTGTCACCTGAAGGACCCACGTCCAGGGAAAGGCGAAGGAATGACCTGTCTCTTCCAACACCATGCCTTATCCAGGAACTTGCCCTATACCTCCAGACTCTATCTTCTCTCTCCCTCTGTTCCCACCCAGGCCACCTAGTGGAGCTAGAACCTTAGAATCGGAAGGAATCGTAGAGGTTGTCTAGTTGGAATTGTGTCCAACAGAGTTCATTAACACCAGCCTGGGCTTGTCTCTGCTCCTCAGGCCTTGCGTCTTGTCCCCCGTGTCCAAACACATTTGCACACACTCTTCTTGTACAGGCACCAAAACCAGCTCCTCTGCCCCCGAAGCTGTGCCCTGTGCTCCCCAGTCACCCCCGCCCTGTCGCTCACCCCTTCCTCATCTCGGCCAGGCTGCCCTGGAAGGCTCTGGAGCTTCTTTGCTGAAAAGGCAGGGAGGTAGGCGTGCCCCCAGTCCTGAGTGTGTGAGCGGAGGGAGGACTCTGGGGTGAGACGGCACGAAAATGAAGTTGGCTCTCATGGGAGATTCATTTATGTTCCCTGATTGCACAAACCGCATGTACTTTCGGCCTGGCTGCAAGGAGCGACATTGGTTTACTCTTGTATCCTTAAAAAGTTACAGAACTGTGTCTTAAGAGAATTATTTATAGTTACTATAACTGATTTGACAGATGTCAACATAACTGATAAATTATATTTGGTAAATAAAGAGGACGTTTATTTAGGTGGTTGGTTCCTGTGTGTCTTGTTAAAAAGCAGCTTCAAGAGAAAAAAGACAAATAAAATCGGCTTCAGCTATCGTTTTGGGCCCCTCTGTTGTCCCACCTCCCTCAGACGTGGAAAGAGGCCAAAGTGTGACAGGAAATGAAGCATCTCGCCCTGGCTGGTGTTGCTCAGGGGTTAGAGCATGGGCCCACTCACCAAAGGGTCCTGGCTTTGATTCCTGGTCAAGGGCTTGTACGGGGGTTGCAGATTCCATCCCCATCCCTGGTTGGGGCGCAGGCGGGAGGCAACCGATCGATGTCTCTCACACGATGTTTCTCCTCCTCCCTCTTCCCCTCCCTTCGCTCTCTTCCACTCTCTCTAAAAATCGATGGAGAAATATCTTCGGGTGAGGATTAACAGAAAAAGAAACAACTCTGAACTACAGAGATATGTGATAGAAAACACACATCAGTCATTTATTGAAAACACACATGGTCTATTCAAGGTGGTGCCTGTGGGGTGGAGACCACAGGTGTGCGATGGCCTTCGTTGCAGTATTGTCCCAAGAGGTGAAGATTCCTTCCTGCAGAGGTACCGTTTGGTTGGGTCAAAATAATAATAACTGTTACCTGTTGAATATTTACTATCTGCCTTCACTGTAAGCCCTTAGAAAATGCACAGTGGACTGCAAAGGGTTTGGAGTCAGGCCTTGGTTCAAACCCCAGCTCTTGTGTTTGTGTTTGTGTTTGTGTGAGCTCAGGCAAGTTATTTACCCTCTCTGAACTTTAGTGTCCCCATCTGTACGAAGACCTATTTCCTCGGATTATTAGGAGACATCCATGAAATAATATACATAAAACACTAAGAATGCCCAGCACATAGTAAACCCAGAAATGCTAGTCAATGGTAAAGGGGGAGGGAGGCCAAGGACTAGGCAATGTCAGCACAGTGGCCATAGGTGGCGATCGAAGGCGGCCACAGGAGCAGGCAGGTGGAAAGGACACTCAGCCAGGCCTGGAGGGTCAGGGGACTCTTGGAGGAAGCCTGGAGAACCAGCAGTTGGGAAAGTGGGTAAAGAAAGAGCCACCTGTAGGGGAACAATAGGCAGGGAGTGAGCCTGGTCTTTTGGAAACTACAAGCAGTTCCGTGTCACTGGAGTCTGGAGGACAGAGAAGACAACACCACATCTTCTGAGGCAGATACACATGATTGTGACAAAGCAGAGTCACAGGGGAGCCCCACCCAGGCTGTCTGACTCCAAAGATTATGCTGGAACCGCTGGACCCAGGACACGTCCCCACAGGAGGTGGCAGTATTATCCATATTATAAAAGGCCTGTGGCCCTAACACCATAAGACCAAAGACTGGAGCGGGTGGGCGGGGCTGTGCACGTGGGTGGGAAGGGCTTCGCCCATGCAGTTGGGTGGTGGGTGGGTAGGGGGGTGGGGCCCACGCAATTTTGTGCGCTGGGCTTCTAGTATAGTAAATACTGAATGCTGAGCGTTTGCCATCTCAGTAGTCAGCCTTTTTTCCCCAGCTTTATTGAGGTATAATTGACAAATAAAATTACAACATAATTAAAGTGTATAAGGTGATGATTTGATAGACATTGTGAAAGGATTCCCCCATCGAGTTAATTTACATAGTTACTCCCTCTCCTTATTTTTTTTTAAATATATTTTATTGATTTTTCACAGAGAGAAAGGGAGAGAGATAGAAAGTTAGAAACATCGATGAGAGAGAAACATCGATCAGCTGCCTCCTGCACATCTCCCACTGGGGATGTGCCCGCAACCCAGGCACATGCCCTTGACCGGAATCGAACCTGGGACCCTTCAGTCCGCAGGCCGACGCTCTATCCACTGAGCCAAACCGGCTTCGGCCCTCTCCTTATTTTTGATGACATTTAAGAAATGGGCATTTTATAACCAGCCTGAGCTCCAGCCCTAACTCTTCAAAGCAGCAATACGAACAAGGCTACTAAGGGTTAATGGAAAGAGGACAATTGCATGTTGGTTATTATTCATATAATATTTTCATTTATATAATGTTTTAATACAGTATATTATGGTGTACTGTACAGTATACTTTTAAACAATAGCCTCACTTACAACTTCAAAAGTATCTCTCATAATTGCAAAGCAGATATTATCGCGATTTTATGAGGGAGATACTGAGGCTCAGAGGAGTTGAATGTCTTGCCCCAGGACCTGTATTCACACTCAGGTTTCTCTCAGCCTGGGGCCTTCCCTCCGTGCCTCAAGCCCAATGAACCAGCTGACCAAGTTGCCCTGGGAACACAAAAACACTCCTGAAATGATCAGAAACATAGTGCCTCTTGGTTTTGTTCATGAGACACCTTGAATTACGGCAACATGTTCATTGTCTACTGACATCGTATCTTCCAGGAGACATTTAAAAACATGCCTCCCCCATGCCCACCGATCTCTGAGGATATTTTTGCAACATAATTACAGGCAACGCAGCCAGCCCTGAGGTCAGCCAGCTGACAGTCTCCTCAAGCTTGCCGTCTTCTTCAGCTAAAATTCAGAAGCTGGATAAAGCACAGTGCAGTACTGTTTACTGCACGAAACTGCATTCTATTACATTAATTAAATAAGCTCCCAGGAAAATGTCTGCCTTGGAAAATAAAAAAATAAATAAAATAAAAGATAAACCTAAAACTAGGAAACAGAAATTCCAAAAAAGTGAGGACAGTTTGGCCAGCCAGAAAAGAATTTGTAAACACCATCTGAAAGACTTTCTGGCTATATTCATGGTTAGTTCAGTGTGGATAACTAATACTACCTAGCTATTGTTGACTTTTTAAGCTAAATGAAAAATAATTCTAAAATAAGTTTAAATGTCACGTCATTCAGTGTGTGGTATAAATTCCTTATTTTGAACATACTAGAACAAATTCCGTGTTTTGATCACTATAGAAATTATTTTCTCTTCGTTCCTATCAAAGAAATGTTGAACAAGTAGATAGCATTGCTTTAAAGGAGCTCCAAACTCTGGCCTGCCTGGGACATCCACATGTTTATCGGTCCTTGACTACCACAGACTGTCACCTGTGTGACTTTCACGCACATACCTAAGTTGTTGAGTACCTCAATTGCTCAGAAACCAAGTACAGTGGGGCCTTGACTTTCGAGTTTAATTCGTTCCGAGACCGAGCTCATTGAGGAGCTCGTTAACTCAAATTACTCTATCAACTCAATGCAAAAAATCAGCCAAGAGACGGCTGGTATCTCAAAAAACTCGTTAGTCGGGACACTTGTAAGTCAAGGCCCCACTGTACTTGGTATTTAGGCGTTAGAAATCCATGGAAAGAGAAACTAAAGCTTTCAGAGAATAAATGACCTGTCAGAAGGGTCAAATACGGAATATTAACAAAATCTCCCGATTGCCAGGCAAAAAAAAACCCAAATCATCCTCCCATACAGGTTCAGGAAGGTAGGGGAAGATGTTACCATTGCCTGAGGTATGTGGGGGAACCACTCCCAAACCAGGGGGTGCAGCCACTGATCCTTCTCCCTTATAACTGCCACGCTATGGAGGACAGACTGTGTGTCACGTTCTCCCGCCACTCCCCACTCCCCAACACACACTTCTATGTTCTCTCTTGCTTTGCTTAGCATCTAGGTTAGTTTTTTCTGTATCAGAGTCAAAGCTGAAACCTCTGGGACCCCCCAGGGCCTTGCTAGAATTCTACTCCAACCAGACACACTGGCAGGCTGCCTTCTCCAATCAAGGCAGATTGTTTCTTTGTTGTTGTTTTTTAATCAATAAATAAAAATTCTGTTGTCCACTTTCGGAATGTGGAAACACGGAAAACACACTGAGGATGCTACACTCTTGTTCTCGGAAGTCTCCCGAGTCTCTTCATGCAGCTTAATTTTTCAAATAACAATTAAGCACAAGCTTTAGAGGTGGACAGACATAGATCTGAATCCCAGCTCCCTCAGCTGGAGGCCGTAATTAGCCTCTTCTGATCTCCAATTGTCCCATCTACAGAATGGGTCAATAATGCCTTCTCAGTGGAGCTGTTGGGCTTGCAGAAGTTTCAATAAATAGAAGCTTTTATTTATTATTATTATTATTATTATTATTATTATTATTACTAGAGGCCCAGTGCACAGATTCGTGCACCAGTGGAGTCCCTAGGCCTGGCCTGCACCCTCTCGCAATCTGGGACCCCCCCAGGGGCTGTCATAGAGCCAGTTTCAGCCCGATCCCCACGGGCCAGGCTGAGGGATCCCAACGGTGCGTGAATTCATGCACTGGTCCTCTGGTATGCATATAAGATCTTTGGTAAATCTCTTCCCACCCTTCCCCCTCCTTTCTTCCCTCTGAGATTCATCAGTCTGTTCCATGTTTCCATGCCTATGTTTTGAGCGTCTGCCCCCTGGTGGTCAGTGTGCACCATAGCTACTGGTGGAACAGTCTGACAGTCGCTTAGGCTTTTAGATGTAGAGATGATTATTATTATATAATGTTGATTGAATTGGTGGTGGTAGCAAAATAAGAAGAGAAATACTCAGAATATACAATTTGGGATGATATGAAGGAGCTAGTGAATGAAGAACTGACTAGACCTGAACCTGCCTTGGGTTTTACTCTTTGCTGATAAGGGTGCAGTTGAAGGTGGACAAAGAGAAAGACCAGCCGGCTTCACAGACAGGTCTCCTTTGGGTGAGTGCACCGTGACCCAGAGCCTGGCCTCATCCTCAGAGCTCAGAAACTGAACCCCACCCCGAAATCATCTCAGGGAGCTGACCTGGACCCACGAACTCACAGAGACCTGCGAGGAAGACCAGATAGTGAATGGGCCCCACACACACGCGTCCTGAGCAGCACATGCACTGCCTGGAAGGAAGCTGATCAGGAAGGCAGATGAGCAGAAGGTACCCGGAGAGTTTGGGATCCTAACAAAGAAATTCATTTTATAACTTGAAAATAGAATGGCATCAGGCCTTATTAGGCGGCTGTGTGAGTCTCCATGATTCCCCATAAGACT